ATTACTTCTTAGTGCTAACTAAATTTGTGTAGTTTAGGATTACAAATGTTAAATGTAGGTTGTGCGCCATAGATAGAGAAACTAAATTATTGAATGTTTCCAACAAATCCAATCCATGTAGAAAGAAGATTATAAACATAAAACATGCATCGTTTAAGCTGTTTCCTCGAAAAAAACATGGAGACATATATAGATAAACTTTTGGGGGTCAACAAGTATAGATAACGTCATGATCAAGAATACATAACGATCTATAACTTATAAGCTGAATATAACATAATCTCGTTTAAGAGAATACATCAATGTTCATTCGACATGACAGGATTAAATCTCTTCTTCAACGTACCAATCTGCTCAAGACTCAACCCAAAAGCTTTCACAAGCAACTCCTCATTGATCCCTGACCCAAAAACAACCGACGGTATCTTCTGAATCCCGGGGCTTTGGCTATTAAGTCCTCCTAGAATCGTGGCCGTAACATCTCCAACGTTCATCTGAAAATGCACTAGCCCTTTTGGGTAAACCATCATTTCTCCTTCTTCCATAACTTTAGCGTAGACTTTATTGTTTGAGTCCACAAAACCGGAGTATACCCGTCCTTTAACCACATGGGCCACTTCTGTGGCCCGTGGATGGTAATGTGGCGGGTTTATAGCTCCGGGTTTAAGATCAGCCCGGACAAACGATAAACCCAGTGTGTTAAGGCCCGGGAAGGTTGTCGGGTTCACGGGGACTGTGGCTAGCCCGGTCTCAGTGAAGTTTCCAGCTGTTTTTAAACCGGAAAAGACAAAATCTTCGGTGGTTAATTCAGAGGAGTTTTTGCATGGGAGGTTTGTGGAGAAGGGATGGTGATGAGGAAATATGATTTGTTTTGGTATACAGAAGTCTTGGATCGGGTCGGGGTCTGAAGCTGCTGTGAAGCCGACTTTGAAACAGACAAGAAGAAGAGCCTTTATAAGAAACATAGTGTTTGCTTCCATCTTCTTACTTTGGTTGAGAGGCGTGATGAAGACTTGTGTTGTGTCTGGTTTATATAGGGCAGATATTTGAATGGAATAAATGAAAAAATGTGGCTAACCGGGATTAATTAATTTCCGGTACATTGTTTGCATACGGTCAATTACGGTTCTTTTCGATTCTGATTTCAACTGCTAAGTATGTGATTTGGTTAAGGCTTAACCAAATGCGCAAAGAATGTTGATGTGGTCACATAGGCTGAAACATAGCCATAGGCACGCATTCGGCGTGATGTTTGCGCACTCCATGATGTATAATTACACAATACTCAAAATGATGCATTGTTACCGATGCTTTTTGTTACGTGTTTGATATTTGTATTTACTATAAGGCATGTCTAGACACATGAACATCGCCTTTCGGTGGAAAAGACTTAGAAAGATAGATTAGTGGGCCAAAATCTCTATTCAGAAGCTAATTATTGTTCTTTTCAAAAGTTATAGAGATTCAAAGCCAATTTTTAACAAGATAAAATACTAGAATTTGAAGAAAAATTATTAAAATACTAATGATATATATAGTCGACTTGGTAAATCATCTTTAGTAATCTCTTACATTATTCATCCTAATATCACTAAGTAGATACATACACTCAGATTTGTGAATGTTATTCATAAACGGTGTAAACAGAAAAAGTGACTGAGAGAGAATGACAATGATGTTTGAAGGGCATGCGATGGATTGCTGGATTTGCTTGAGAGAGAAGTTAAATAAACAAGACATTTAATGATGAACAAACATTAGTTCCCCACTTCCTATCATCATTATGTTTTGTATATATAATGTGAATGTCTTACATATACTATATGCTGTTTTTGGGAACCAATGGATAACCAGAATTACTCGTTAACTCAAAAAATCTTACTCTACATGTTTTTGTTGACTTCTTCGAAATGTTCATAAACCAAAGCGTCACCGGTACATTTCGTTGATGCAATGAAAACACTTTTAATTGAATGTACATAACATATAACCATCCTAATATGCAGAAGAGTAGATACAATCTTTGTGAACGTACGTTTTAAACTAGGGTGCCTAAAAAACGATTTCTTGTTTGTTGCTTAAATATGTTTCTTAATGGCTTAATGCATTGGTTATATAACAATACAAGCTTTTAATTTTACCATATCATTCAAAACAAGTGATCAAACAATTATTTAAAACAAATTTTCTTCTTCTTGTTCATAGATTTTTACTTCCTAGCTACTCTCTCTTTCACATTCATTTATCACGTCTCACCTTATCACAAACTACTATATCTACTTGTCCCATCTCATTAACAAGAGATACATAAATCTCACATTTAAGCATTATCCAATTCATAATACGGTTTAACGGGTGACGATGGGTTTGCTCATGTGCCAAACAAAATCCATCGTTTGAATGCTAGATCTCTTGTTAATTTGGAAGTTCTACTATATTAGTTTGATTACATATGGAATATCTTTTTTTTTTTTTGAAACTACATATGGAATATCTATACACTCATCCGTCTCTATGAACGTATACTTCTACAAAACCAATACAAGTGTTCTTAATTAATTTCATAACTGAATGCTTGAAGTGTTTCACACATTCTAAGAAACTAATTGTAATTCCAGTTTTAGCTTCTCTCTTTGTTATAAATATCAAGATTCACATTATATTATTTCAGTTGGCATATGTTTAATTACAAAACAAACCCATAATTTACACGACAAGCATAAAACAAACACTATAGAGAAAGTTGTTTTTGAGGAAAAATTTACGAAAATGTGTTAATAGATCGATATCTCCCTACCATAGTTATAACAATACTTTGTCAGAAAAAAAAATTATAACAAGTCACATATATTTTGATTGATGGGAAATTATTGCATGGTCGTTTTATACATGTATAAAGCTATCATACGAATTTGGAGAAATTCATATATATGCATTGGGGATATTCATCATATCATACGAGAAAATGATATGTTAAGTTTCCATCTCTTTCACGGTAACAAAATTTCTGCCGCCACCACTCAGAGGGAACGTGCATTCAGTGCCCTACAATGTAAGCAAATTCATAATCAATGGTTTATTTAATAACTATTTATAATATCTTTTGCTTAGACCTTAGAGCATCAAAGTCCACTATTCACCCTAAACAAAAGCTTCAAACTATTATATTCTTTACCCACCCACTGTGTAACCTTTTTGTTGTCTTTAGAGCAACACCAACGCCGAACCTGTAGGACTCGATAACCAAGGTAAGCTTTTATATTATTTTATTCTTTTATTTTTTTCAGATAAAAAAAAATAAAAAAAAAAAGAGAACAAATCATGGGATCCCACGTGGCGGTGGGACCCATGTACAGTGACGAACCTGATAGTGAATTGATCCTTAGCTAAGGCATACAAGAGGTTATAATGGCACGAATCCTTAAAAAGTTTGGGTCCCATATATTATAAAAATAATTTCTGGCTAAGGATTTCTTTTTAAGAGGCTGCGTTGCAGCTGCTCTTACCTCTCTACCTTCTTCTGAGTTTCCTACACTTTTTCTTTGTTACTAAGGAATATAGATAAATAAATAATGAATTGAAACATGCTTCATTGGTGGAACCCATTTGAACCCAGTTAACATCGAAAGCGCTTTAAGGGTTACTAGATGAAGTGGACCACACTACCTCAAAATATAACTTTGCATAAGCTTACGTAATCAAGATGGAAGAAATACGTTTATATGTTTAAATGTGTATATGTGAGATCGTGATGGATAGAGAAAGTTTGGTCAAGCTATACTCTATAGCCTATATTGGGAACGTTAGCATAATACCAAGAGTGTTCGGTTTTCTTGTTATAGATTAGGCTAAATAAATGCATTAACGGTCAATTTTATTTATACCAAAACAATAAATGACGTCCAATTAATTTTAGGCAGGCCTGGCGTCACACGAAATAAAGTTTGGTGAATAACAAAACTCAAGCTTGGTGAATAACAAAACTCAAGCGTACAAGGGACTAGTTTTGTATTCGGTTTAGTTTTCTTTTTTAGAAGTACGTAAGAGGATACCCACGTTACCAAACTCAATTATGGTTGTGTTAAGAAACCAAGCGCGAGGACGGCTTAGTGGTCTTGAGAGAATTTTGGCTCTATTACGGACCCAGATTCAAATCCCGGTGATCACTGGGGGTAAAATTTAAAATCTAGGCTCTCCAAGCATCCGATGACTGAGGCGTACTCCGATGACTGTTACGGACACTCGCCGCTAGTCTAGATCCACCTTGGTGGATGCTAGGATACACTGGATTATTCAAAAAAAAAAAGAAACCGAAACAACGTAAGACGTACGTACGCATGAACTTGTAATGGTATGTTGTGTGTGCTTCATCAAGTTTGACCAACAATTTAAGACTAACACAAATCAGAGAACGGAAGTTAATGGAAGCAAGTGAATGTTTATAAGATAATGCGTTATTACTAATAACTTATTAGTAACCAAAAATAATGATAACATGAAACAAGTGACGAAATGTACTGTGTACAATGAGAGATGCAACAATCAGTAAGTTGAGAACTTTCGGCGTATCTTAGCAATTGAGAAAGATGGTGAATATTCAATGTAAGAATGATTACAGAAATCAAGTTGTACTGCGCATTTGGAAGGTGACATCCACTGATTAAAAGACATTTCGACTCCTTTTCTGATGGTCCTAGTGGCTCCACTTCTAGATATAGGCAAGCCTCCGCTAAAAATCCCTTTGTCTTTTTGTAAATACCAAATTATTATTACATTGTACAATGGTTTATAACAGTTGAAACAAGTGTGTTTAGATGTTTACTAAAGTATAGATATGGTTGGTGTAATGAACTTGCACACAAAATGTTTAACAATAAAACAAATCCATTATTAGAGATCCAATTAAAAAGATATAACTAGGATAGCACCACCCGGCCACACCCCACCACGACATATACTAGTTGCCTACCAAATTAATTGTATATTTTTCGTAATATTCAAAAATACAAGGGCATTTACGTAACCCCAAACTCTATAAATATACAAAGACAAATCTCCAAAACTCTACAAAAATCTCCAAGGACATTATTTACAGAAAAGAGATAAAAAATTCAGGGAAAAAAAAATTAAATTATAAAGATGGGGAATTGTATAGTAGTGGAGAAGAAAGTGATAAAGATTATGAGAAATGATGGAGAAGTAGTTGAATACAGAGGTCCCATGCATGTTCATGACATCCTCACCCAATTCTCTGGTCACTACTCTCTCTTTGATTCTCTGTCCAACAACTATCATCTTCATCCACAAGCCAAGCTTCTATGTGGTCGTCTCTACTACCTCATGCCAAAGCAGACGACCACAGTCAAGCATAAGAAGAAAGTCAGGTTTGTAAATCCAGAGGTAGAGAATAAAGAAGGAGATGGATATTGTGGTGACAACACTGAGGAGAAGAGTCCTAGTGTTGTGAGAGTGAAGATGGTTGTGAGTAAGCAAGAGCTCGAGAAGCTGCTTCAGGGAGGCTCAGTTCATGAAATGGTCTATAGAAGTCTTGCTAAGCAACATCTTTGCCATGATGATGATGAGGATACGTGTGTTAGAGGCTGGAGACCTTTGTTAGATAGTATTCCTGAGTCTTGTTAGCCTATAGCCTATCCATATCTTACATATATATATGACACATATATAGATAATAATACATACATACATACATGACAGAGACTCAAAGCTTGTTCAAGAGAGGAAAGAAAGCATGTAATATCTAAAAGAAAGCCTTCTTTCTTAGAAAGTATCAAAGTTTGTATAAAAAACTTAAAACCCAAAAATGTGAATATTTTTTATGTTGAATTTTCCAAAATGGCGTGTGATTGCTTGTCCGGGTTAATTTCAAAGCCTATAGGCTTATGATAAGCATCTCTAGTGCCTTCGTAAAAGCTAAGCAAAAAGTTCATAGTAGTGGGAGAAGAATAATGGTTTCCAAGACCATTTATTACTCACAAACTATTTAAGTAAACGTGTTGTCTTCAATAAAACTAATTAAACTAGTTTAACGCTAAATAACACAATGGTTTGGTATGACATTGATAAATCTACCTAAGCAATTCCACATTTCTTCATATGTTAAACATCATTTTGTCCAGTTATTATGAACAGTTCAGCTCATGGTCGACATGAGAGGAAATATAAAATTGTGTAACAGAATAATACAAAAGCTTAGATGAGGCTTCTCATGTTAATAATAAGATAAATTGACTAAAAAAATCAATTGGTAATCATGAAAAAAGAAAGTGATTTATAAAAACAATGGGATCTCTGTAAGATTACTCTTTAAGGAGCCTTTTTCAGATTTGGTAAGAAGAATAATCTATCTCTTTAACAATCTGAGTACATCCCCAACAAGATGTAATGATCCTGTGACCAGAACCTGTTGCATGGAAAAGAAAAACACAAGAGTTAATGCTCTGTTCTACTCTAAAGAGTCTGAAGTAGATGATGAATGTTAGCTTAGACTTTACCTCTAGTTTCAGTGAAGGGTTTCGGCGTACGCAATCTCGTAGCCAGTTTATGGTCAATGGAAGTGAAGGCATTACAGCACTTGAAGTGATATGTGTCCCTGCAGGTCCACCACAATGAGGTGCATCTCCACACAGGAAATCATGAGGTGGTAAGGAAGTTACTCCATCAGGATTCAGTGTATGGTCAAGCGCAGTATCTGATTATTCACACCAGACATGTGCTCAAGATTAGGCGTATAATCGATTTAAAGTACAAAGACAGCGAAAGTTAAGCGTTAACCTGTTCCTTGGATTGATCTCTCCCAGAGTTTCTGTAGTCTGAATTGCCAAGTCAGATCCTTTCTACGTGTATCTATAGGAATCGCTGATGCGCCTGAAATGACCTTGTTGTAAGTTGACATGGTCGGAACGAACAGTGCTCTTGAGAAATGAGTGCCTGAAAGAGTTTTCATTCACCAAAAATATTAACAAAAAACTATAAAAACAGAGTATAATTTGTTTTCAGACTACCTGAGGAAGCACAAGTGCTGACAAGCTTTGGAAGTAAAACTTGAGGGTCTCTAACTTCCATGCAGTTGAACAGAAGAATCTATTAACAAAAGAAGATCTCTTGACAAGTCAAATCAAAGTATGAAACACAAAAGTTCGTTTGCAACAAACCTTGAATAGAGAAGAAAGCAAAGTCTTCAGTACCTGTTTGGAGACTCTGTTGAAGTCTCTACCAAACTCCTCATGTCTTATGTAGCCATTGAGACCAGTAGATAAGCCTTTGTTTCCTCTGACTGCAGAAGAGAACCATCGGCCACAAGCCTCCATGCTCTCTGGACTGTGAGCTCCATCCAAGTAAAAGATCAGATCACCTGACGAGTCCTGTTGATCTGATACTAAATCATGAACAACTTGGGCTCTCCCATGAAGACGAGCAGTTGCAAGACCACGAACAAACGCCACTGGCATATCGGTTTCATTACTTCCCTGTTAACAAAAATCCCAAAGGAGCCAAATAGATTCAGAAAATAAAGCCATTGGAAGTTTTGATAAAGGTTTAATGTCAAAGAGCAAAACCAAACATTTGGAAATATCTTGTCCCAGTTGCCAGTTCTTTGAAGCCAGCATCTTGAAAGAGAAACAGCAAGACCTGCATTTACAAGCTGATGATCCCCAGACAAGCCAAGTGCAATTCCATCCAACTTTTTAAGGTCAAGAGGCGCTATTACTTCCAGAGGAACCTGCAACGCAGGTCAAACAGTGTTTATTCCTTGTAATTCGGTTCCCATAACAGCATAGCTAAATCACAGACGAACACACGACCATGATTAGGCTTGTGACCGTAAACTACATTACTTCTAAAACTGAGAATCAAAGACACCAAACTCTCCCACCCAAACAATCCCAAAACACTTGATACCCATTTCTACTTTATACTGATCCCACTCACTAATACACAGACTGAGACTGCCTAATTATTCTATCAACTCTTATTAGACCTATCCTTTTTGTACTTTAATTAATACAGAAGAACTAATCGTGGGAGTACTTGAAAAAAGATGAAATATAAAATCTGTAACTATTAGTTAACCTTAAGATTAGTAGCTGTTTCTTGAAGAACCTCCATTGCTTCAGAGAGTTGTGGTACTGTGAAGGCCGGGATTTGAGGCTTTCATTAGCATACAAGAAAACAGAGCTAATCAGAGAATATCTAACATGAATCTGCCAATTGGAACTCTTGAAATATTGCATTTATAGAAATCTAAAACCCTTTTTTCGAAATAGTTTATAAAAAGTCAGAAGGTACCTTGAAAATCCCAGCCTTATGATAAGCAATGTCAGCTAACGTATGTCCTGTGTAGAATCAGCAGTGAGAAATTAGAGTTCGCAAAGTAAAGCGTCAGAAGAAAAAAACATTATGATGTCAAAAAATAAATAGTCAGGCATATACCCAATATATCCATATGATCCATCCCAAGAGAAGCAATGCCGCAGACAACAGGTTTTTGAATCTGTAAGTTCACATTTTCTATTTAATGAAGACAGATGGCCAACATTAAATAAATATGACAGGAAACTCAGCTACTCAGGAGATAAGAATCTCAAAAGATGCTAACCACATTTGTTGAGTCAAGTTTTCCCCCAAGTCCAACTTCAATGACAGCAACATCAACCTATCAGGAACATGAACATCCAGTTTTAGACAAATACGTAAGGTTTCAGTGCAATATATTTGATCATTGATATACCTTTTCACTAACAAAAATCTTAAATGCCAACACTGTGAGGAACTGAAAAAGAGGAGGCATGATAACACCATCAATAGCTTTCTCCTGCAAAGAAGAAGCTCACGATTAGATATCTAAACTGTTTTCTCATAGTCAACACTGAGTATTTTACTCGAAGTTAAAAAGATATTAAAGCAAAATATCCATCAGACAAAAGCAAAAAAACTGTAGTAACGTTCCTTATCCTCTCATTCCATAACAAAACAGACTAAAAAAGGTAATTCGTGGCAGAAAGTGAACAATGAATAATACTCAACGACTATATCCAATCATCCATTTCACACTGGAACCAAAAGCATTGCATACCGGAAGAGTGTTTTACCTTCAGTAACTTCCAACATTCCCAGAAATACTGTAGAAACTTTTCCTCAGATATATCCAAGCTGGAAAATAGAAACAGCACTTGAAATAGGTCTCAGTGTTCATGTAGCATTGAACATCAATATACACTGATGAACTTACCCATCTATTCGGAATCTTTCCCTCACATCCATCAGGTGAGGAGATGTAAACAATCCTGTTCGAAACCCACAGTTACGTAATATCGCCTCACAGAAGACACATGTTGAGCCCTGATAAATATACAAATTCAAAGGCCGACAAATAAAATCAGAAGCTGCTTATGGAACCATGGCATACATGAATATTACTTTCATACGCATAAGCTATAGTTATGGTCCATTAGTCAGGGTAGATAGTTGACTCGCCAAATGAACTGAGTTCTTCATTTAAGTGCTAATTACTCAAATTTGGATACAATATCATCTCATATAAAACCTAGTGCTAACAATTTCAAGTTAAAGTATCAAATTCCACACCAGTAATAAGCAGCAAAAAAAGTATAAAAAAGCAACCAACCTTTCCTTTCGTTCCTGCGACATGAATAACTTTTAACTCTTTTATTTTATCCTCCAGTCCCAAAATCTGTATTGTCAAAACCAAAACCGCAAACAAAACTTTCAGTATATAGACTAAGCTCCATAATGTTCATGTCACATTTAAGCATTGAAAATATTCTCAATACTCTTTGTATGCTTTCTGTTTTATTTCATTTGAGCTTATGCCTATTCTATAATGCACCACTCAAGAAAATGTTGACTGTATCACCTTGAGATATGACACGACTTGCTCAAGCTTGTCACGACTTCCTACAGTAGGTGGATCGCCACGTCGACGAGAGATAAGAGTGGAGAGCGCGTCCATGGCATCATCATAAGAAGATAACGCTACATTATCTGCCTTCTCTTCCTTCGCACCCATATCAATGACAGAACTCTCCACAACTTGTATTGATTTGCTTGAATACCTAAGATCTTAGAGACACCAACAAGAAAAATAAAATAAGAACACCTCTCTTAGGTATTAAAACAAGTGTGTATATACATACTTACTATTGTTGAAATAAAGACGATCCCGAGGGATAGAAGCTAAACTGTAAGAGCTCGGAGTTGGTTTAGTGAAGAAGGATAATCTTTTGTGAGAAAAGAATGGAACTAGAGGTGCTCCGCACTTTATAAACCCGTTCACATAAATGAGCATCAGGGAATGTCAAATCTACAACAAGAATATGGTTTGATAAGTTGGTGAAAACCAGTGCTTGTTTTCCATTAATGAAAACATTGTTCAATCTCAAAACTCTAAAGCCTAAAGTGTCACTATTACAAAAAAAATAAACACAGCTCATATTTGAAATCAAATTAACAAGTCAAGTCAGGAGAAATCACTTGGATTGATTTCATCATTAAAAACAACTAAAGTTCTCTACTTTAAGCACTCATTAGGGATGCTTAATTCAAGAATTAATCTTTAAGTAGAAACCCAATAAAGAGGAGAACTTACATCTATTTACCAAGCAACCCAAACAACAACAATAGATTCAATCTAAACACTTTCATTTCATATAATATAAGGAGAGAGAGAGACCAACCATGGAAAGGTTCAATCACTTTCCAAGACTATTTGTGTGGCTCTTCTTACTGAAACGTATATGAAATAGCTTCCTGTATTTGTGGAATGCGAAAACAAATCGGGAAAGATGATGTTTTTAGGGTTTGGTGGGGTTCACCACTCAGCAACCATTGCCGAAAAGGGAAGAAGACAGCTCCACTCTGACTCTGCACCACCACCTACCTTGATTTTCGAATCCTCTGCGTCATCCTCCTTAATTTAAAGCCATATAATATTCATCTATTAATTTTCCGACAAGAGTTTTTTAATTTCCGACAAGAACCATTCCAAAAACCAAACCAAATTTTATAACACTTTGAAGCCCATTAAGAACTGATCCGGGCCGAACCTAAGGCCAAAATACCAAGACTAGTCAACATAAATCTAAAGTTTTATTTTTTTTTTTTGGGTAAAATATTAAATTTTATACCAAGGATTTTAATTTTTTTACAGACAGTACAGAGAAAAACTGGTATCAGAGATGCATGAAACTAAACTAACAACAGGACCTAAGCAACAAAGTATAACCAAAGTGACATAAACCTTAAGTTATTTGGTCAGATAACAAAAATGATAAAATTTTAATTTTTTTTTGCTAATCTTCAAAACTCAAATGATTTTAAACTAAGGTGATGTAATCTGCATTAATAACACTGAAATTAGCTGCAAAATGTCAATATTTGATGTACTTTATAATAATTGTTTTTTTTTTTTTGCTAACCAACTTATAATAATTGTTCAACTTATAAGTATTACAATATAGGAATAGACCGTATAGTAGTAACTTATAGTATAAAGTTAACAATCTGCATAACTAACGTTACTCTACACAAATTCTATACAATGTTTCCCAAAACTAATATAACAATAAGTAGGTGGTCCAAAATCAAACATCATGTACATTTCGCTACCCTCTCTCATATTATTCCTTTTGTTGCACCTCAAAACATTTATTTGTGTTGAATATGTAAAAGGAAAAAGAAAACGTTTGATGCGTTCTAAACGTTCTGAACTCACGCCTTTACAGAAAAACGTTTTACCTAACGCCATAGTCACCACATACAATGGCTATATGTGCATGCAAACACAATAAGATCACGGGGATGCCTAAAGAGGAAACCCACATCGAATCTTGGAAATTCTAGCCACTTACGTGTCTTTCTTGATGAAATTCGTCTCCAAGAAAATTTATGAACAAGTCACAAAAATACAAAATAGCTTTTAACTTGAATGGGAAAAAAAAAAACTGGAGTCACGAGAAAGAGATAGGACTAAAAGTAGCAACAACACACATGTGATACGTTCGTTATCACAACTTTTGCTCCTTGCTCTCCTTCACATGCACAAGATTGGAAACATGAAGTCTATATTTGTACCACTTTTGATAATATATATTCTCCGATATATACATAAAATCACGATTTAGTTTGCCAAAAAAAAATCAATAACAGGAGATATATGTTTTCTATTTTGTAAGATTTTATTTCGAAATTGGACTATATATATAGTGACCCCTATATCCTTGTTCATAGTGAGGTTAGTCTGCAAAAGAAACCCTCAACGTGAGCTTCATTACAATTTACAATCATTTCTGCTATCTAAAATGGCAACCAATCTTCTCTCCATTGTTATGTTACATTTTGTTCTGTCTGCTCAAACTCAAATGCTTGTAAGTGTTTGAACACTCATTCTATTTTAGGATCTACGTTATTACTTTTTCAATTATATATTCACATTCATCAAAGTTTGTATAATTATTATACGTCATGAATATTAACAGCCAATACAGTTGGAGTCTCCTGCTCCACAACCACATCCACCCCAGTGGCAACCGCCGCATCATAATAGCTCCCAAGTGAATTTCTCTGGCTTAACTACTCACTAAAAAATAGTTTCATGAAAACCGCTTTTTAACTTCCTTTGAACATTCTTGTTGATTTTGACAGTACGGTACTACTGAAGGCAGCCTTCAACCCCAAGGTACGTAAACCAATGATTAGTCTAGTTTTCGATAACACTTGTAGCTGAGTTCGCCCTAGAGCTCCCAGACACGAGTATCGAGACTCGATTGCAGCCGCCGCCTCTCGACGCCGGTGAGCCCTCTGGCCGCCGGCGTCGGGTCCTCCGTTTTGGCTCTTCTCATCTTTCTCGTTTCCGTTTCGTTTCCACCGTTAACGGTAGCCCTCCGACCTGGTTCTCCGTCTCTGTCAACATCTCTGCTCACGCCAAGTTTCCTCCCCGTAGAAAGCTTGTCCTTGTGAGTCGCAGATCTTGGCTGTCTCATTACAGATCTGGTTCCACCGGATCTGACTTTTCATGGGGGATTCCCCAACCCGTCGAGATTCTCGCCGGTTTCAGTTCCCGTTTTCCATCACCGTCATCGTGCTGCTATGCTCACCTCCCCCTCGACGAATACCCACCCCTTGTTGGGGTTGAAGCCATTCATCCTCTCCAAGTTGAGCCTCACAAGCCAGATCCGCCGCCATCTCCGCACCGAAATAGGAAAAGCTTTAGCTATCTTCCTACGCTGTGTCTCATCTCTCCATCTGTTGGTCTGAGGCCTGAGCCGATGACTCACCACTCACCAAATGTATCCCATCCAGTCACCCATCGCTGCACTTCAACCGTTCTACTGTCATCTTTCCGAAGAGGTCAGGTTTCTTATCTCCTTGGGATCTTTACCAAAACAGATGTGCAAATATGGTCTTATCTCTCTTGTGCAAAGAGTTTATTATTCACTCATTTGCCGGTGGATTCATCGAGTTCGACTTCATCATCACTAGCAGCCTTCTCCTTGGAGAAGCAAACCACTACCTCCTTGTTAAGGAGTGTTTCCCTTCCAAACATTAAATGGAAGTGTCCATCCATATCTATATCCGTTTTGCTATCTTGCGTAGCGGTTCGTTTGGGGCCTGAAGATGCAACGGGTTTCGTTTCGGCGATTCTCCGAGGTGAAGATTGGATGCTAACGTCACTTGTGACTATTTCTCAGCTTTCCGGTCGTGAAGGTTTTATGACGCATTTGAGCTTGGTCTTGAATTCGCCGTCATCTTCTCATGAAGAACTATCCTACTTATCTGCTTTTGTGATTGTAGTTTATCATTTTAATCAAAGAGGATGGTTTTTTCCCTCTGTTTATTGTAATCGAACGAGTTGAGATTGAATGAAAGTATGTTGTGTTCAAAAAAAAAAAAGTCTAGTTTTCGATAAAATTGTTGCGCTCAATGCGAGCTTTAAATTTAATCTCTTACTGTACTAGAGTGTGGGCCACGGTGTGGAGATAGATGCTCAAATACTAAATACAAGAAGCCATGTTTGTTCTTTTGTAACAAATGTTGTGCCAAGTGCTTGTGTGTGCCTCCAGGTACTTATGGCAACAAGCAAGTCTGTCCTTGTTACAACAATTGGAAGACTCAGCTTGGTGGACCCAAATGTCCTTGATTTCTCTTCTTAACTACTTCTGCATAACCTCCATATAGTGTGTTAATCTGTCTACCATAGTGTTATATATATATATATATATATATATATATATATATGTAATGGACTCTTTTGCATAATCACAATAATAGAACCACATGAGAAGTTTACAGCTTTTGAACTTTTACTAGCCGTGAATTAATTACTAGTTAAGAGTTATGATACTGGTTAACTTCAACAACATTGTTCTCGACTCTCTACTTCTTAAGGTCAAGGACTTCGAGTGCTTCTGATGCTAGCTTGTCATTTGGCTTTGCAGAGGCTTCCACGAACGACCTGCTCATAAGTTCCGATTCGTTAAAAGACTGCTTGCGTCTTATACCGATCGCATATAAGCGTGCTTGTGTCCCCATGCATCAGTCTCATATTTAGCTTAGTCTTTCTCCTTGTTGTCTCTCTAGATCTAACCATTTCTTTAGTTTTTCAAAAATATGTGTTCAAAAAAAATTAGTGTCGTATTTAGATATGAGTGGTTTAGTTGTTTAGTTCATGTTATACTGTTAACAGAGCTGAGTAGGCATCATTATTTTATTAAAGCATCGCCATTAGTTATTATAGAGATATATTGCAATGGTAGATACATGGACAGAAGATAATGAAGAAAGATTTATGCATACATATTAAATTTTCATTATCCAATTCAACATGAATATATATATATATATACATATATATATGAAAAGAAGATCATCAAGAGTTAGAGGAAGTTGATGATGAAGGGGTGGAAGCAGGAAGTCTTTTAGGGGAACAGCCACAATAATTATGGAGACAAAGTGGCATCTTCCCTGTGTACTTACATCTTGGGAGTCCATACTTCAGACAATCTTGGTCTGTTTGACATATTATCAAAGGCATTGCAACAGTCACATTTACCATACCTGTTAATCATTCATGGACATCACCAAAACATTAGACATACTAAGGATATAACATATCAAATGATAGAGATCATAAAAGGTATAATGCTTACATGACGAGACCATGAAGAGGATGACGAAAAATGCTGAGATTTTCTCCATTTAATTTCTTATATTGTTATGTGCTTGATGGAGATGTTTATGCATTCATAGGGTGTACTATCTATTTATACAACATGACTAGTGGATTGAAGACAAGCAAATACATTGCTAATATAATTAGTCAATAATCAAACTAATTTCTTACTGTCTTGGTCAGCACAATTACTTTAATTGAAAGTCTTTGTATCTCTCATATACCAAAAATGTTGAGAGTATCAGTGACTCTGACACCATTTCTATGTTGGGCCTTGACTATATGATATCAGCTAATAAAGAGATCATTCTATTAAAAGAAAAATACTAAATTTATCTACTATTTAAAAGTCATGTTTGATTATATCATTAATTATTTAATTTGACATATTTAATTGTTACATTAACCAGTTACATTAACCAGTCAAATATATATTATTCTCAAAATATCTTAATAATTAATAAGGATATTAATAATAAATAAATTTAAATATAACAAAATCTGTTGAAAAAATCTAACAAGATCTTATCAAAAAATTAAAATATTTTTATATAAAACAAGTATTTCTGTATTTCGTTATTAGATATAAATCATATATACATGTACGGATGTGCGGGTGAACTCTAGTTAGAAATAAATTGAATAGTGTGATGTGTATTTTGCGGACTTACTGTTACGGACTATTAAATCCAACTAGATTTTGACCCGTGCGTCCGCCCGGGTAACTGTTTACTTTAAAAAAAAATTAAGATTGTTAGAATATTGCTTTTAGATATTTAGGCAAACTAAATTATATGCATTATTTCATTAGTTGGACCCGTTTGTATGAATGGTTCAACCGTTGACTCTTTTGTTTAATTGGGTAAATGTTGTTCCTAAAACAATTTTCTGTTGAACAAATAAAATTGACCGATAACCAATAAGATCGTTAGTACT